CCTTTAGCTTTGGCTTCTCAGCGCTCTAATGCAATATCCAGAGTCTCATCTGACATCCATCTTGGTCTTTTCTTCTTTTTCATCCTTTGTAATGATCTTTTGCATTCTTCATGTACGATTTTCTTGATATCCTCCAAGAGCTCATTTGGTCTATGCTCATTGGTGCTCAAGGCCTCAAACCTGTTCCTGAGATTGTTTTGGAATTCGAGTGCGATAGACTGAAGGTCAAAATTTGGTTCCCATGGACTTGATTTAATTTTCCTCAACTTCAGTTTGAACTTGCATATGAGTAGTTGGTGGTCTGTGCCACAATCAGCACCCAGCCTGGTTTTTTCACTGCTGATATTGAGCTTCTCCACTGAGTCTTTCCACAAATATAATCTACTTGATTCCTATGCATACCATCAGGTGAGATCCATGTGTATAGCCTGCATTTATGTTTCTTATAAAAGGTATTGAGCTTAGATTCACAATAATTTACCATAGAAACAACATTTAGGAAGTAAAATAACCAATTTAATTTGCAAACTTCCACTCAACTAATAATAAACTTTTTTTTTAAAAGACAACTACCAACAAGAATAACAACAACAACAAAACATACACAGAGTCAACTGCCTATTGTGTTGGGCAAATCTACTGCAAAATACAGGTACACATAAGTCATGATAGTTTCAGTCTCCTCAAAAATATGGCAAACAGTAGGAAGACAGAAGTCATGTTGATAAGTGGTATTGGCAAGGAATATTGACTATTCTATGAACTACGAAAAGAACAAACCTGTCTTGGAAGAAGTGTAGCCATTGGAAGTGGTGCTGGTGAGATGGTTTCTCACATTTGTTGTTTTGTTGTTAGATGTTATCAAGTTGATTAGGGACCTTATGAACAATAGATTTAAGCCCTGTTCTATCCTGTGCCATCTTCATTAACTCTGACATGCTTGAGCCCATTGCTGCAGTCATTGTGTCAATCCATATGGTGGAGGGTCTTCCTTTCCTTCACTGACCCTCCACCTTTCCAAGCATGGTGTCCCTTTCAAAGAAATAGCCCCTCCTAACAACATGCTCAAAGTTACATGAGATAAAGTTTCATCATTCTTACCTTCCAGAAGCACTCTGGCTATACATTCTCCAAGACAAAGCTGGTTGTTCTTTTGGCAGTT